TTTCGGTTTGAAGAAAAGGAAAGAAAACAAACCTCAAGAAAGAAATGGTCAGCCACACTACAGGCTGGCAGAACCAAGATTAATCCACTGTAAAATGGTATCATTCACCCTCCTGTTGAGAAGAGGGTCAAGAGACTTTGTTGGCTGCTTTTGAACAAAGAGAGCAGGACACACGTTTGCTGCAATTATTCACGCCAACACGTTGTACTGGACTTCCACTCCACAGACTGGGCAAAGCACAGCCATGTTGGTAGCAACATAAAGGCTGCCATCCTTGTACAACCCCAAATCATGACAGCTTGTATTCTAGCCCTTACTGTCTTGATGTGGGCCTTTAAGGTATGTCAACTCGTTTTCAGTTCCTTTAAAAGGCAAACGTATTAAGAGTAGAGCCTAGTGGTTGGCAGATGACACTACGGAACTGGAACCTTTCCCTTAGCCTCAGCTCCAGGAGATTCATTATGCAACTCCGGGCAAATCACTTCACATCTCAGCCTCAATTTCCTTTTCCCAGAACAGGAAAAGTACTTGCTATAAGAAAACGTTTGCAGATACAGAGCGCTTACTACCCTGTACACAGCACAAAAAGCTACTCTCAGACTGAATTCCAGAATTGATCATTTTTATTGCAGTAGCTACAATTTCTAGGTCAATCAGAATATTGAGGTATTGACTGAATGGGATAGGAATTCTAAGAAGGGGTCCAGCTGTTTTCTATTATTTTTTATTCCTTTTTTTTTTTTAAAGAGTGAATTTGCATTTAACAAGCTGCCCATCTTTGTTTGTTTCAAATGCACAAATCTCCTAAATAGCTGAGTATAAGGAAGGACATGTCATAAGTGACATTCCAAGGTCTCCAGAAAGACTACACAATTTGCTCATTTTCCCAGTCAGTAAGAGGTTTGTTTGCTATACACAAGACTTCAGACATGAAAGACAGGAATCCAAAGTTTGCCCTTAGCCCAGATCCTCCTCTAGCAGGAGCAAGTTGTATTTGCACCACTTGATCAGGTAGAACTTGGGGGAAAAGGGTTTTGTTTCATCACTTCTACATTAAAAAGGAAAAAAAAAAAAAGACTTCGCATATATGTGTGCATGCATGCCCATTTGTATATGTATGTACCTACAAAATAATGAGTACTTTAAAGAGCAAAAACTATGAGATCAAGTATGCAACCCAAGAATTTTTCCCTCTCACCTATTTGTATATTTGCATAGTTAAATCATAACAAGGCATCAATACTGCAGTAACGCTTCTCATTCTTCTGTGGTTCAGGCTGCTTTTCTTATCACTCCCTAAACGCTTCTCTAAACAGCACCAGTGTTTTGAAAACAGAACAAAAACAACAGAAACCCTGCATTGTTGGTGAAATGCCTGTCCCACGTGATGGAATACAGATACAAATAGGTGGTGCCTTTTATACTCCAACTCAATGAGCCAAAGTTGTGGCAAGCCGAGAAACACGAGCAATACAATCACAACCTAACACTCACAGGTTCAACACTTAAACCACAGCTAACAAAAATCTCTCTCTCTGCATTTGAGAAATTCACCAGGCACAAAAACAGGCACGTATCTTCAGCTTTCCTTTTCTAAGCGAGTTAATCCATTGGAAAAGAAAATAAACAATATTTCATATTTGTAAGAAAGCAAACATGTTATCCACAACATTTTTTTAACCATCAAAATTATGCCACCCTTCCTATCTTCCTATTGCACATTCTCTCTGTGAAGAACATTTACAGTACGAGGCTGAAATCAACATTGCATATCATAAGTCAGCAGTTGAAGGTGTATCATGTAGACAGTAACTGAAACAAGACCCCTTTAATTAGATCGGAGGAGTAACATAGACACTGTCAATCATAATAATCACAGTTGGTCTTAAAACTGAAAGAGTTTCATCCTGTTTAGAATTCGAGACTTTCTACGTAACAGATGCACACTCGCTGTGCTGAATGGTGCACAAAAAGGGCAACATCCAGGTTCTCACACACTGGCATCTCCCTTCGGAAAGCTGGAAATGAAAGAGGCTTGTACATCACTTGGAGTGTCATCGTTAAGAAAGAATACCAGCAAGAGACTTCAGCTGTGCGCTGCTAAGATCTACCAAGCAGAGGAAAAAGAAGACTCTGTTGAAGAAATGCTGTTTGTAGAAGTACAAATACTTTGGAACCCCTTGTGACAATGGCATACCACACGGGTTAGCCAGGGACTCTAGGGAACATCTGGGGGCAGAGCGTTGCTCTATTGATTATTTAGAATAGACTGACCCTGAAAACTTTGGATATCTGGGTCAGAAATACATATTTTTTTAAAAACGATAAAGGGCATTTAAACGATGGAAGAAAAATCTACATAATTTAAAGTGTTGAGTAAAGCACCAGGTATCTCTTCTTTTCAATTTAGAGAATATACAGTGGCCTTGTTATCACAAAATGCTACATACTCCTTGCTGGAAAGTAGAGGAAACAGATTTCTATGTACACAGTAAGAACTCTGCAGAGACAGCCTGTGAGTTCTGCGGAAAGAGGAGTGTTACAGTCAAGGCTTCAGGTATCCCACAGCAGGCGGTGTATACATTTGTGTAGCGAGATCCCGGATTTCACAGTACGCAGGGTTGTCAAACTGGAAATTCTCTGGCAGCTTCACGTAGTTTTAAAAAGTAAGTGCAGTAGGCCTCCATTTTATTAACTGTGATAAAAAGCATATATGCAAAAATATTTTTATATCGATAGCACATTACTGCATTATAAAAGCTGCCCAAGTGAAGCTGAAGATTCTGGCAGCTGGTGCTTTTGGCACTTGGGAGATGTGGAAAGCAGCATAGAGATCTGTGAAATAACAACAGTGACTGATGTTTCTGCTACAGTGATCGGCATTAGTATAGTTAGCAGTGTTCATATTTAAAAACTTCTCTCTGAAGTTTCTGAGTCAATATCCCGCTAAGAGGAGACATTCAGATCTCTTAAAGCTACTAGTTTGGGCTGCGTGCACACTCAGGAAGACTTCCCTATTAGCATACACTTTTCAAAGTTTCAAAGTCCTCTTTCAGTCACAAAGGCTGGAAACTCTTTTTTCCCCCTCTTTCGGAGCCTGGATTTAAAAGCACAATTCTGTCACAGGAGTTGGAAACTGTAGTCACAAATCTGCAGAATATGCTGGGCCCTGCTTATACTAGAAATCTCCTCCAAGTCCCAGATTGAAACAGGATATAAACTGTTTTGAGATGGCCAAACATTTTCATTTAAGTTTGCAAGACATGCATTAGCAATGGGAGGAGAGTCCTTTGGACATTTCCACTTGGGAATCCTGTTTTCAGTAAAATTCTGTGATGCACAAACACAAAAGCTCAGCTGCCTACATTCACAATTATTAAAATGACACGAATTGAGCGAACCTTCGCCCTAAAGCGTAAGTGATGGGTTTGCTTATGCAGCCTGCATAAAACTGCAAGTGCCATTGAATTATATCTAGAGATATAGATGCAGGTATATCTATAGATATTTATCTCTTGTGCAGAACGTCCTCCTTGTGTGCTAGAAATTAAATGCTAGCATGTGCCTCCATATTTTAGCTTGCACCTGTTGACAGCTATGTACCATAAAGGGAATACAGTACCTGGACAATGGAAGGCAAGAAAAGGAAGACAAGTTGCTGCTGACGATCGTGATGGTCAGCAGCAGGCAGTATTCTAGCAGGCCCGGAAAACCCATGAAGACCACTTAGCATGCACTGTATATTCATAAATACTTCTTGCAGGCACCGTGTGTGAAGGCACAGCCAAAAAAGACAACAGCAAAGACAAGCCGAAATACAAAGGCATGAACTCAACTGCACCTTAGACAAAAAAATTGTGACTATGCCTCAAAAAAGCAGAAAGCTGATACAACCTGACATTATGAAGACTAAGATGCACCATCTTCTTTCAAGCCCACAGAGGCTTACCACAGCAGCGCAAGCCTGCTCTGCTTAAGCGGTTCCTGGATTTTAAAAAGCACCACAGTCAGGCTATGTCACTAGACTTGCTTGTCACAGACTATTAAATAGAAGCAGATGAACACAGCAGGTTGCAATCAGCATGTTTCAGTGCTAGCAAATGCTTTCCACTAAAGTTCAGGCTGTTAGAATAAAGAAGCCCGTGCATTCCCTGTTAGAAAAGCTGTCATGAGCACATACATTCACAGCCCCACAGAGTTCCCCGGATGAGTCTGTTTAAAGTGATGCCACCTTATGACCACAGGCATTAGAGGAAAAATGTCGCCCTCCTTCATGCTGGCCATGGAGACTGTCTAGTCCAAGCTCCATAGGAGCACTGAGCATAACGTTTTGGCACCTGTGTAAAGCGGGTTCTGCCACGGCCAAGCCACAGAAGCTCCCAAAGCCAAAGGAATGGGTTTTGGCTTATATTTGGAACACCACAAGGTGCCTAAGGGCTTAGAAGTCAAGGCTAAACATTATGCCTGAAGTCCAATTAAACTACTATTTCAGATATCAGAATTAATCTGAATAAAAAGCTATGGTTTATAAGCAGCACAGCACATCTAAGGCACATGTATGCATGCAAGCCACCATCACTGTATTAAGACATGGCTGATTTGTCCTTAAGAAGCAATGGCTGCTAGTACGGAACAAACATATAGGCTTTTTCAGCACTAATCCTCCTCCCCAATACTGAAAATACTATATACTGCTGACAGCATAATTTGCAACATATATAGCTTGATTGGAAAGCATGGGGCAGAACTTTAAAAACTGTACAGGATTCCGTTTAGAACTCCAAAGTTCAACAAATGCCCTATTTTAGGGTGAAAACAATTATAAATCTGATAATGATGCACAGCATCCATGAGTGATTTTTCCTTAATTTTGAAATAGTGTCATTAATTACGACATATATTGTAGGTTTACATTTCTAAAGAGAAATAACAGAATTGAATAGTTTTTTTTCCTATCACAAGTGATAACCAGTGTTTGATTTCTTCTGTTTTTCTTCCAAGAAATATCAGTCTATCAACAGTTTTAAAATAAAATGTTTTCTGTAACAATAGAACTTTAAATAAAAATATGATTTTGATTCAGATACTTTTGAGAAGACATGGATACTTTTCCAAGATCTTCTTACAAAGTAATTATTAAAACAGAGACCAGATGAGGCCTTAAAAAGACAATATACTATATTTCAGACAAGATTGCACCTCAGTTTTTTCAAATAATATAATCGCAACATTACTTCATTTCTTCTTTTAACATGCTGACAATTTCCAGCTAGCCCACATGTGAATGTATTTTTGTATTCTAGCTTAAAGAAATAAAAGTCAGTAATTTATTCAGCACATACTGTATATGTCTTTTCACCTTCAATGGACTAGATCATTAATAAGTTAAAAACAAAACAAAACAAAAACAAAAACAGAAATCCTCTCTGACCGTAATCATTATCCTCATGAGGGATAAGTGATTCTTCAGAGTTTAAGTGTTGCTAGTTCTATTAAAAAATACACCATGGTATGATTTCTTAATGTGTTGCTACTTTCTCATTTGGACCCTATGCAGTTATGCCTTCAAACTCTTCCATCTGTTCCACAAGGTGGTTCTGTGAGCTTTAGGACCTCTGATTGAAGACAAACTGATATAAAACCCCCAAATGGAGTTGTCTTCTGTTTAATCTGCCTCCCCGACCGTATGTCAGGGGTCTGGTAGATCCGATGTATCCACTATGACTTTAATAAAAATAGTATCATCTTTAATATACGTTCCATTCTCTAGGACAGTTTGAGCCACAAAGACTGGGCAGCCAGACGCAATGTTCATTTCTCCAGTTGGCTTCTTGAAACTGCTACTGTTTGGATCTGGCTTGAAAGCATCTCCTAAGTGGCGCCGAGACGGACCCTGATCCATTAGCATGAGAGTCACTTTCTGTTTAAATGGCCAAGGAAGCAATGCATCATATTCTCCACGCATTATGACAAAAAACAGCGACAAGTGCGTCCCCTTGCCCATGCCATCTCCATTAAGGTAAACTCTGGCACACATCTTGTAGCCAAAGTATCCAGTGTAAAAGGGTTGGCTGTACAAGGACAGAGTCTTCCCCATGACTGCCTCTTGCTTCCGACGTTTATAATCTCGAATCTTCCAAATTAACACTCCATTGTAACTAGCAGTTTCTAAAACTTGGAATCGGAGATCCATGTCAGCCAGCCGAATATCATGAACACTCAGCATCTGATCGTGCCTGCTGAGCTGTGTCTCTAGCATGCCTGTTAGAAAATGGAGAGGATGAGGGGTAAGAAGACTTTAAAAATTGATCATCAGTATTGTTAGTTTATATGCAAACATTTTCTTCTCCAAAAACCAAACCACATTTGGTCACCTTTGAAACAACTTCCACTGACAATAGTTTGCCAGCTAGAAACTAGGTTAATTAGGATTTTTACATTTGTGGGTGTTAATGATGCATTCAGTATGAGTAAACAATTCAAATCATCCAAAATTTTGTCTAGCCAGTGAGCAACTGAGGCTTCTGTATTTTGAGAACATACTTGGTTGCATAATCTGTAGCTTATTAGCCTTGGAAGGACTCACAGTTCCTACATAATTCCTCTGAAATTCAAAGGGAATTTCACCCACCAATCACTCAAAATATTCTCCTCACACACTACTTGTCTGAGACGTGTAGTTGTTACCTTGTCTAAAGCACACGATAACAGAACAGAAAATTCAAGCTTAGCTCTGCTTTGTATGATCACTTACTTGGGAGGGAAGGCTGTCGCTTTTCCCTTGCATGACAAGTAATGTGTTACTCTTTGCACACTGACAAAATTGATCAACATGCAATACTGAGAAGCAGGTTTGTTTTATACACATCTACTTTGGCCTTATTATGTAAACCCTTATATAGGATGTATACTATTCAGCAAGTATGACAACAACTTTAATACCCAAGCACATCTCGTAGTAATTCTTTGGATCAAGTGCAATTCTGTAACAGATAGCAGAGCAGGTCATTTCAGCTGGATAATACCAATGTTTATCTACTCATGGATGAGAACAAATGACAGAAAATGGCGTCTCAATACATTGAGAATGCATTTAAAGAAGATGCTGAAAGTTATTGGCTTTTAAAGATCAGCTCAAGAAGTGTTTATAATTAATTATAATATTGTAATCAAGACAAGGGTCAAGAAAACAAAATAAAAGAATTAAGCCTAAGAAACAGCTTGGAATCAATGCCACAACATTGAAGCAAATGCACCATTTCCTATGCATGAATCACAAAAATCAAAATTATTGATGCTTCCACAGGAAAATGATAACAAAAGTGGCATTCAAAGGATATTCTTTTTCCTTTTGCAGCACTGCCAAGTACTTCAGTCCATTGTGCTTACACTTACTTGTATTTCGAGCTCCTTGCCCTGCAGTTTTGTCAACACTTTCCAGCTCAGTCACTCTATTCTGGAGGGATTCTACACTGCTCTTCATGCTGTCAGCCTCCTCCCAGTTCTGCCGGAAGGGACGGATTTCTTTGTCCAGTTCTTTCAGTTTTTCTGCTTGACTGTCTATCACTCGCTTTATGAAACAGTAAGTTAGAGTTACAAGAAAAAACTCAAAATAACTAAAAGACATAACTTATGCAGAATACACAAGGATTTTTCATTATAAGATGCATTTCCAATATAAACAAGTTTTACTTACAAATATTGAAATAACAAAAAATTAGAGCACTATCAGAATTATCAACACAAATATTTCAAAACAGGATTGTTAGAGTGCCTTTCTCTAAAGACTTTTTAAAAAAGCTTTTCAATGCAAGAACAACATTCTAAATGCCTCTACACCGGTATTACAGGCTGGTATTTGTTGGGTATTTTAGAGTACTTAAGTAACATACTATGGGCACAACTTACCATGGTGTGAATCAAGTGGCTGCTTGCATGCATGCTTTTATCACTGGATAAAAGCAAATTAACTCACCCCTCAGGAAAGCCATCAGCACTCTAGCTCTCCACATGGAGTATGAATACGTGCAGATACAGGGGCATTAGCCAACTACAAGCTCCTATTCATCAGTTATCCATGCCTAAGTTATTTTGTGCCCATATCATTAGGAGTAAAAGCTCTACATAGCATAAGCAGAACTAGCACTGCTAACTCCCTTAACCACTTTTGAAATTCCCACCCCTCCTAAATTCAATAAACCACGTCCTGAAGGTGCTTGCTTTTGAGTTCATTAGTTGTTTTTGTGTTTTTTTCTTTGTTTTTAAGAAAACAAAATACAAAAACAACTGATAATACAATACAGTGTTATGGATACTATGTATATTATTTATAATATATATATTATTTATATTATATATATATTGTTTATATTTATGTATATAAAAAGACTGGTATTCTCAAAAACAGGAATACTGCAAGCACCTCAGTATATTTTAAGGGACAACATACTCCCCCCAGTCTACCTCAAATCTGACATAAGAAATACAGAGTACTTAATCTCATCACAGCTAATTTTGACTAGCAGGAATTTTAGCCAGAACCCCAGAGACAGTTGTAAAGTTCAAATGGTAACAGAAATATTTGAGTCAAGAAACTACTTTTGCTACCACCTACAGTTAAATTCCAAGTTTAACTTTACAGTTGATTATAATACAGTGCCAACATGTGCAAAAATTACTTTTCACTTCTTTAAAAAATTATGTTTGAGTACAAAACAAGAAAATAAAGTTAGCTTGCATTTGCATTCTTGTTAGCCATGTGGATTCAATGTTCCCCACTGATGGGGAAAACCCTTTTGCCTCATGAAACCTCCAATTCCCCTTTTAAACATTTGCTTTTTAATCATGTGGTTTCAGTTATATCAAAAGTCTGTAATGATTAATTGATGGCTGTCAATTTGACAAGCCAGCTAGCAAAATCATGTTCCTCTTGGAGTGGTTTATTTATTCTGTTGTGGTTCAAAACCACTAAGTAATCCAACATATTTCAAGCTTAACCATTTATTTCTATGTTGGTGTTTTAAAACAAGCTTATATATATATCACTTGCAAAATTAGGACTTTGTCATGGAAAGCTATGTCCTAAATCTTAAATCAATGGCTATGGCTCCATTAAACAGATTGAGCAACTTTCCTGGACATAATGATCATTAGCTACCAACACAGTCACATTCCTTCTCTTGGACTTACAATCATCAGAAAATAAATTAGGAAACAGCTGTTTGCTATACATACAAAAGGAAACACTCAATGGAATGGCATGAATGAACACCTTGAGACCAGAGCCACAGGACGTAGTCATTAGTTCACAGTTAACAAGGAGAGGTAAATGTAAGATATATAAGTCTGATGTTTTCCCTGTACTCACACAAACCATGAACTCTCCAAGGTATGGACAATAACATGCTTATGGATTTATACTGTGTCTCACACAGAGATGCCCTCATTTCTGAGTGGGCCCTCTTAACATTAACTAAACAAAATAAACACGCACATTCTTTGACAAACTGGGAAAGTTTCAAAGGTGCTGAAGAGTTGTAAGCTCTTTTCCTTTGGGAAGAATGCTTTTCAGAAGCTGCCACCAGGGACCAACTTCTCTCCATCATCATGTGCGCAATGTTCTGCCTTTGTAAATGTACAACCAATGTGGAGTTTAAGCTTCTGGTTGACAAATGTGTAGCTTTTTATCTCCTCCACCTCTTCATGTGAATTCAAAACATGCAGAATAATTACAACTGGACTTGTATTCCACGTTTGCTTGTTTTTAAAGCAGAGGAATCTCTATCACTTTACCCAATAGGGACACAGTCTCCCTCGTGCTAGGAGATACTGATGTATTAATCTGAATTTAATGCAGAAGTGGAGAATTTCACTCTCTCTAATTATGCCACTAGAAAGCACACAGATGTCTCACACTGTACTCATAAATTTTCAAGTAGATATCAATTTTCCGAGCGAACTTTTTATTCCTGCAACTGACCTCTCCAGATCATTAATCCAGAGTAATACGCCTAAAAAACCTATGCAGGGCTCTTCTAGATATTTACTGATTTTCATCTAGGTTTTTTGGTTTGTATTTTTAATATATTATTTCAGAATTTTAGCACCATTACTTATTAAAAGAATTCAGCAAATTTCATGAGGAAATTTGAAGAAAACCATATTTGCAGTTCTCTCTCAGACGTTCCTAATGGACACAAGTGATAGAGCAAAACTGAACGGCAAAAGAACACACCAGGAAAGGAATAACAAGTACAACTTTGACTGGAGGAACAAACTGTGCATCCTCCCTTCTTTGAAGAAACGTATTACCTATTAAATAATTTTATATTCATAAGATTGTTATGCCTTTTGTCTTACATATTTCATGTCCATGCTCAGCTTAAGGCTTGGCTTAGTATTATGATTCCATATGCTCATAAAAATGACTAGATACTGGATGTGAAAGTTCCTTTCCACAAAATAACAGTTGATCACACGCCCTCTCTTGGTGAAGCTACTGGAACTAGCAATCAGTCATCAAGAATGATGAAAAACTACACTGTATTTTCTCTATTTTCCTTTTTGTCACTGGTTATTGAGACAGCATATGTCAGGCTTACAAATTAACTTACCTCCAGGCAGATTCAACTGGCAATACCAATACATACATGGATTAGCTTCCCAGCGTCAGAATGAAAAACTGTAAGTATGCAGCCACATCCCAAACTATCATGAAACCAAGCAACAATGACTAAGGCAGGCTAGACTGATTACCATGTGAGCAGAACATGGCAAGATTAAGTGCTGTAAGGATTTCTCCCCACTGCTGCAAAACTTAAGCAGTATTTTGGAGACTTAAACCTTTCTCGAGTATTGTAACACCTTCAGTTCAAATGCTAAGTGAATAGTAAGTGAAGGAAATACTTTCATTTAATTTCCTTTAGGAAAATGAGGATCTCCTAGGAGATGCTAAAACATATCTGATTTTGTGGCAGAAAATATACTAGGGTAATGTGTAGGCAGTATCTTCACAAAAGCTTGTTAACTCTCCCCTGAGGTTTCCCTAGCTGCAGTCCACATCATGGACACTAACAATTTCCCAGTATTCGAGTTCCAAGCTAGGTCTGCAAAGTATGTCAGCTTGGACCAAGCATCATGCTAGTGCATCCAGAGAACTTCTACTTTAACGCTGGCTTGTGGACAGGTGATTCAGACCACAGAAAAAGAAGATCACACCTACTGGCAAGGAATACATAGACATATTTTCCTCAAAAAGCTCAAAGGATAACAAAAATACTGATTTTTATATAGTGTATTCAAATGCATTGTGCTAAGTTGGGATTAATTCCACATCAGATTGACTTCACTCTTAATTAATAGCTTTTAAAATACCAAGAAAGAGAAATATAATTAAATCTATTAAGCATATGACAATTTTAAGATGCTGATCTTTTCCTCTAGTTTGACAGCAGTTATGATTGTTCTTCAGATAATATCTGTAACTGTGTTTTTAATCATTCTCCTTTTTTAACTGGGGCTCTCCATTTTAACCCAGCCTAGGCAATTGCTGTGCTCTAGAGTGAAGTATCTTCTTCCAACAAACCAAGCCAGCTGCTGACAAGAATAAAACAAAATCAGAAAAGCTTTACAATAAGCTAAACTCTGCCCCCTTTTACTTACAACACCTCACTTCACAAGTGTAAATGTACAGTACAGAAGCTACTACCATTTCTGCTTTAATGGGGAGATTCTAAATTTCTTACCTGTAAATGAAGTATTTTAGATTCATTATTCCGTAGCATTTCCTTCTGTCTTTCAATTTCTATTTCAAAGCTACAAATCTGATTATGTAAAGTTTGTATACTCTTGTTCTTTTCCAAACTTTCATTCTGGAGCAAGGCCACCTGGAAAAAATTCTACAATTACTCCTGCCAGAGTTTATTAAAAATACCTATAACTTCATTTGTTGTAAACTATCTTACACCCATGAAAGAAATGAGATCCTAAGGAAACCTCTCTCTATGTGTTTAAAATAAACAAATAGATAAATAAACAAACAAACAAAACAACAACAAAAAGTAAACAATGATGAACAAAACTGGCTATTGATAGCTATTTCTCCACTTCCACAGAGTGGTACCAGTGCAATTTGGGATGATAAAAGTACAGATGGGATACAGAAACAGCAACAGAACTTATCCAAGCATCATCTTTCCTTTATTTAGGTTGTAACCACGTTGTGGAACTATGACTGCCTCGTTAGTGCAACAACCACCACTGACTTGGTTGTGGCTTGGAGTTCGGAAGAAACCACCTGAGCCCTGCACATACTGCTAATTAAGAAAGCATTAATCTTCCCCATCCATTCCTATCTATTCTGATCTGTAGAAATTCCAGTAAAAAATTGCCTGGATGGGTTTGGCTTCACAGAATGTCACGGTGATGAAAACTCCTGATACAAGTGAATACAGAAAGGATTCTTGCATCTGAAGGAAAACCCAGTGTGTCTACTAGTAGAGCCAATAGCTACAGAGACAGACTGCAGATTATATTCTCTCTCTGTATTGACATTTTATGAATTCATTCATTAGTGACTCATTCTGATTTTAAAACATGAGCCTTGCTACAAGAATATCATATATTATATCTCCTTGGAGATGAAAGTAATACAGTTAAATATTCTCTGTTACTGCAGACACACACTATTTTCTGCTCCATTCATTAATGTGGTTTGGAGAAGGGTAGTGGTGGGTTGCTTTATTATTTTTTTTAAATCTCATTTTCGCTAGGCAAGACTAGTAAGCAACAAAAATGTAGAAAATAAACAACCCAAAATAACATTTGGATAACATTTGGACACTTACTGATTAGTTCCATAGTTAGATCTTTATGTGGATAGGAAGCAGTACCATTCTTGACCCACTGAAATCTTCTGATAAACATTCCACATTAAGACCAACTACTTGGATGCTTCATGTTCTCAGGATCTAACTCCCTCAGCACATACACAGAAGTTTTTATCCCTGATATGGACACCACTGTAGAATTCCAATACTTTAACTGCCTTCTAATCAGACACCACTGGATTATTACATGTCACTACATTCCTAGGCTCAAGGAGCTATTTAATAAGGTAAATAATTTTGATCACTATACTAGTCTAAATTTGATAAAATAGACTGTCAGAGTCCACAGGCATTCAGCATGTTCACTGAAAAGGGGTCCAGCAGTAGAGGGATACCATACTTCATACTGTACGTGTTTATCTACGTTTCGATATAGCATAGCACATGTGTATGTAAACACACTAACTACAACTTCCATACATGGAACTTTAGCAGAAGAGGTTCAAAAGAAATCAGACAAGGCTAATTTTGCCAGTACAGAGAGAGAAACAATCTTGAGGCTAAACTAATGCATTCCTAGGTACTAAACAAAATTTCCAAGAATAAGTGCAAATTTAAACTAGTATGCCTGCCTCCCACATAGTTCTGATCTGCTGGGTTGCCACTTTAATTTTTACATCCTCCTTTTCCTCAATGATTCAGCGTTCTTTAGTCAATCCTTACATTCCTCATCTCTCACTATTTCCTCCCCAGGCCTCCCAGTCATCAAGCAGTTACACTCTGTGTCACCAGCTTTACATTTCCATTTTTGAACAAGTTATAGTATGTGGGCTTGTCTTGTGCTCAAATTTTCCACACGCTTTTACAGAACATAAGAAAAACAGAATTATGTCTTGCAGTCTTTAATCATACAGAGCTGTCAATGCTAACTCAGTAATTGCAGTTTGGTGGTAATTTGTGAATAAAAAGTCTTTAATGCTAAGTAAATACAATTTCCTAATTATATTTGGCATAATCTTTGGAATTTAGGATAATTAAATTAAAAACAGGGTAAAGGAAACACAGCCTCCACTTATGAACTGCATCAACAACTGACTTCCGTTATTGTGCCATATTTCGATACCTCGAGGAAAAAGTGTGTTCTTATTCAGCAGTTTTTCAAATAAAGCCGTTCTTTTGGTTATTGCTTACTAAAAAAGGATGGAAGAAATCCTCTTACACCCCAAAGAACTGGATTAGGGTAGACAGGTCCCATTTTTAAGTCACACATTAAAAAACAAAGAAGAGTTCATACCGCATTTCCTTAAGACTGGGACAAAGCCAGAAAATTATGTTAAAATCCAGAAAATCAATTGAAATTCATTTGTTTCCAGCGCCAACACCACAAAAGCTGTGGGAGTTAGGTCTGCAAGCCTGTTCCATCACACCAAAACACCTTGTTTTAATTTGTCCCACAACATTGTGATCCAAGATTTTAAATCTGATCAGCTTTTAATTCCTTTTTTGCTAACAGCACCATTCAAATACCAAACTTATAACTCAGCACAAGCTTTGCAGCTCTGAAGACTTTCAGCTTGCATGCCCCCACGTCACTGCTGGGGGCATATCTCCATATGGTGACTGGGATTGGGCAATTTCTTCTTCCCCCACCGTATGTATCACAGTGAGTATCCCTAACAAAATACTGACCCTCAGAAACCAGTGACAAGATTTCAACAGGGCTGAAATTTCTGTGATATTCACCAGCCAAGCTAACTTTGCACTGTCTTTCTTCAGTGCAATTTTCAATTTTCAATTTTTTTTCTCAAAGAGAACAACGAAGTTACGAATCATTTTAGTACTCTTCGCTAGAAAACTCATAGACATATGATATGTGGTTATTCTGGTAAGTTGGCACTGTCTTGGGATTTCCAGTGATTCAATTCTTTATTGTGAATAGGAAGAAGTCTACAAAGCAGGAAGTGAAAAAGTACAAAAAAAAAAAAAAAGAACAACAACAACAAAAAACCCCACAATGATAAGTAAACTGAAAATCTTTTGGTTTTTTTGAAAAAGAAAACATTAACAACTATAGTAAAATGTACACTGTCTTAGCTGTAGAAGAGATAAAACTGCTGGGCACTTTTTAAATGCTGAAGCACCTCTCAAGACAAAAGGCAAAAAATGATCTATTCTGGAAGTCACAGGGAACACTTTTTTTTTTTTTTTCCCCTTCCAATGATGTAAAACAAGTGGTATAATTTTAATCAAGCTAAGGAAAAAAAGAACTAAAGATATGAATTTGTATCTGTTAAAACTCAAACTCACGTAGTTCCTATATTTAAAAAAAAAAGCTCAAGTGCAAAAGCAAACTGAAGTATTGATATTGATCAAATTAAAATTTACTGATGCAGTAAAAATTGTATGTGAAAAAAACCTACACTAGACCTCTCCCAAGCTCAACAGTTTCCTTATGGGACTTCAGAATAAAAAACAGATCGTGCACTAATATACCAGGGATAGAATTACATTTCACTGTTTCTGTTAACTTCTGCTTTAAAACTACATGTTCTGTGGCTGCAGGGTCCTGTTAGAAGCTCATACATGAGAGATCACTGTCTTAGACCAAGAGCAGAATGCGCTTTCTAGACAAAGCTTGGTGAATCCCTGTTTGCAGTCTGCTGCAAGATGTCAGAAGTCAGAAACCACACATACACAATGGCCACTGAGCTAACACTGGAATCATTATTCTCATTTAAATCACTCTAGAAGAACCTGAAGGCCTTCTGATTCTTGTGCCTGCAATTGTAGCATGGTTTTAGTCATTCTGGGATCCCTACCACCACCATGGACAAAAAAGAAAATAAAAGTAAAAAAATATTATTTTAATGGTTATATACACCATTAACCTTTTTCAAAAATGTAAGAAAGCAGTGACTTGTTCTGAAATTCTCTATTTTAAAATCAAAGATGTAACCATCTGCTCTCCAAATCAACTTTAATTCATTTAAACTGTTAACAACATCAGAGCTATTACTGGTGGGATTTCCAGCAATTTCCAAATACCATACATTCTAAAAAGAAGTAATGCCAAAAGGATGCACTGCAATGAAAACTTCACTCTGATCCAGCACTAAAGCAGAAACTATCATGGCAAGATTCACTGTAATTTAACTGAGCTACAATGATTTAATTAACCTTTGCAGGTCATTAAGTTTGGAGAGCAAGTGCAAAAACAAATGAAATAAACAACTGCTTTATTACCAGGTATTTCTGTTAATGTAATTCTTTGAAAAATACTGAGGTAGCAGAAATACAGCTCATAGTACTGCCATTGCTTTCTGAACCCTCTCTTTTGAAGGAGATAGCTCAGGGAGGAAATTTAATATTGTGAACAGAGTGTTTTAATTACTAAGATAGCAATGAGGAAAACTGTATATGGAATTGCAAAGCCAAGGTTCTCATAGCATTTTATAATAACAAAGGTACAGTTATGCTATGTGGCTTGAATGCTTTTCATAGAATCATAGAATCACAAGGTTGGAAACGACCTATAAGATCATCTAGTCCAACCGTCTTCACACTGCCACTGCTACCACAAGTGTGGTAGCTTCCTATTGCTTTAGCTGTGCTGTTGAACAGCTGTTAAACAGAAAAAAGTGCTTCTTCTAGTAGTTTTATATGATTTAAAGAAATCAATGAAAATTAGAAGTGAGTAGAAGATATACCTTATTTTCTAGAGCATTGCTCCACTCTTTCAATAAGTTAACATGCTGCACTGCTGAGCTGGCTTCATGTGCTTTAATTTGTTGGTTTGTTCCCTGTGACAACAAAGAATTTATACATTTTAGCCAATTCCACTTCTTTTAAACCTACAAAGAAAGAGTACATCAAGACATCGAACCAACAGTATGTATTTTGGTTCACGGATGCATGTTGCAGAACAGTAGGGAGAAGGGAAATCTACTTGAGAATTTACAAAAGTCAGGAATACATTTAATAGAGCAAGTGTTTTATACAACTGCCATATATCTCCATCCAATGAACTTGATATGTCAGAGACAATAAAGATGAACAAGATTTACAAAATAAATTGTATTTCAGTCTTCTGCGTAGTTTTACACTAAATAAAGCACCATAAAACTCTTGAGTCATACAAAATCTAAAACGTCCAATTCCCCAAACCATAATTTAAACTTCTGTTGTATTTCATAAACAGCTTCATAAGCACAAAATTTCCCGTCAGTTGAGTATTAAAGACAAATATTTAAGATAAATTTATCATCACTGGAAACTGCCTGCTTTATAAACTACTTTGAGAGATAGCACCATGACTACTTTGTCATCCTAAAACGATTGCTCTACGATATTCAGATGTGCTGCGTCTGCACAACCTGTAAGTGCTGTTACAAATAATCACTATATAAAAAAGTTTACAGAACACACATAGATCATATACAGAGTACATAAGATGCAGACCATATTATTTTATTTGTATTGTGTTGCATTACACCTACTTCATTAAGTACTTTGCAACGCAGAGTATATTAGTTTTCATTGTAGTTAAGTTTCAAAGAAAAGGTTTCAATGATCCTCAAGGTATGCACTCTATATAAAATACTAAAAATATATATGTGGATATATGTACATATATGCACACATATACATACATAAAATGAATGGCAATACATACGACATAACAGTGGGTAGGGTCATTGCACTGATCAGTTCTACCATTAAGAGCATTACTGTAAACACTTAAAATGATGAATGCTCATTATTTCAAAAAAACTGGAAATACCTGCAGGAAGCAGTTTATTGAGAAGTGTTGCTACTTACAGTTCTTGTCTCTTTAAATTATTATGAACTAACAAATGAATGACACTATCTGATAAACTCAATTTTTTCCTGTCAGCAGTTTCTGTAATTTCCTTCATAATCCTTTCATAATACAAGATATATGGTATAGCGAGCAGAATATTTTAAGAGACTGGAATGCTAATACTGAAACTCAACTCCAGGACTTCCTTTTGTTTTTTAAAATATTGCAGGGAGTGCCAGCATTAAATAAAACTTTTTTTTTTTTTTTTTACACTAGATTTCATGCTATGTTTCAACTATACATGTGCACACAGACATAGGAATGCACATTAAAATAGATGTTTTATGTGGACTAATCTATGTTAATTTTAATAAGAATATTAATAGACAAATGAAAGAAAATATAAATATTCTTAGCTCAAGAAAATAAATTACTTTCATATAAACAACTGAAGTTACTAGTTTGTTTGCTACAGAACATAAGTTACTTAACTATTATTCTGTTATGAAGTTCTTGAAACGTATCATCTCCCTGTTTCAACAAGATGTGCCTAACAAATGAACTCCCAAAGCACTGCACGAAAGTGATGTTTTGGGTTTTTTTTAATATAGCTTATTTTTAAAATGAAAAAAAACCAAACATCTAGTACGTAATCACTCAGTGCAACTGGATGACTTTTTCTTAACCAAGATTAGAGAAGTCCAGAACTTTCATGTCAAAGAGTTAAGTTCTACTTGCAGATTTTCATCAATTGGGAAGTATAATTGTTATATACTGACCTGAAAAGTGCAGCCATAACGCTTAAAACTACAGGTACTTGGGGCATTAATACATTCTGACAAATGTGCATTCAACTGCAATAGGAAAAAAATGTGAGTTTTGGCAAAAGACGTTTGCATGATAATGCTCAAAACATAATGGGCACAGGTTATCAGGTTTGTAGTGTGCCATTTGCAGAACATACAATACACGTGTGTATATTTTCTCCAGTCTGACCTAAAGTGCAAATACTATATATACACATACGTAAACCACACGCACATGCCAATACAGTATACAGTGATACATTTAGTATACAGTGAAACTTCTACTGAAGACTATTTCAATAGGCAGCCCAATTAAGAAAAAAAAAAAAAAAAAAAAAGCAAACAAGGCACTCTGCAATTATTTGCATGATTTCATTTGACTTTAAAGAATGATTAATCTTTTCTCACCAAGTGATTATAACTGGTGTTCTGGGTAAGTCTTAAGATCAGTTTCACTGTAGCAAAGTACATCTTTTCTATTCTAATTTCATGAGGAACCAGATTTTCAAAACGACATGCAATTTTCAGTGCCAAAATTTAACAGTTAAATTACACAAAAAAAGACTAAACAAGCACTGCATGAAACAGACAAAGAGCTTTGTAATAGGTACAGTTAAACAACTTCTAAAAATGCAGTATACGGGATTTAAAACGATTAGTAAAATGCCTGCATTTTTCAGATTGAGATTTATTCCAGTATTTTTTTTTTTTATTATGATGAACACATCAACTTTTCATTTTCAAATAAACCAATTCACAGAAGCATATACATATATACAGACAGCAGCCATCGCAGCACAGAGGGCAGCAGCTGGATGTAAACTGCCCAAAAGTTGGAGCAAAGAGCCATTTTGGAAACAATAGAACAACAAAGCCTCTCTCTTCAAAAAGAGAATCTGCAGTTTGTATTTCCCACAAAGCAGACAGGAGCTAGAATCTAGCTCCTTAGCTGGCATCGCTCTCTCGGCTTTCAGGATCTCACGTGAAATTCCCACACATTAAGTCCCATATGCCCCAGCTCATCCGCCTTCAAGGAAAGAAGGGGTGAACCAATTCTGCTTTGAACATTTAGCTCTGGAACACACAGGACAGACTTTGCAATCTAATACCAAGATGTAGTCAGTCACTTATCTCTGATGCACGCTTGTATGATCTAAACACTATCTGTAGAAATCCATGGTAGAGTTTCAAAAGAAACACTTGGTTCAGAAAAAATAAGACCAAATAAGAACGAGACGTGGTAAAAAGGCTTTACTAGAATGCCACATTTTTAACTTCACCAAACTAGAAGTCTGCCAAAGAGTTACAAATTGAACATGAAAAATTGCCATTTATTCTACAGTAAGATATTCACTTTTTGTGCACTACAGGATTTTCTCAAACTGTTAGGCAGGCATTTTCCCATTTTCGGCATTAGTCACTGTCCCTAACCATGCAGCTATGTATATATAAACAGTATCAGAAAAGAATTAAGCAACAAGTAACAACAGATGATGCAAGGCATGCCAACTGTTTAAAGCTCTAATTCTACCAATGGTTTCAGAACTTATTTTTGGCTATATGTGCACAGAAGTGTAATTAGAAGTGTAATTTGTATGGTGTCTTGATCCAGGCTTTAATGGAATTTTATTTTTATTTTTATTTTTTTCAGTCCTATACATCTTTTTGCAGTCACTGCTCAAGTAGAGATTTAACAATATTCCTAAGTCCTCCAGAACTGGGATCTAAACTGAGGAGCATTCAACAAAGAAAGTCACTGATAAAACTGACCCAGAATATATACTTTCTCTTTTCATGGAAGCTTAGTTTCAGTTAATAGGTACAGAACCTACCACACACATTATCCAGGGGAAAAAGACTGCCCCCTATGTTTGGGAAGTGTCTTGTGCTCCTTGGGCATTGTGATATGATTAACAATTTACAAGTATAACCAGAAAAAAGAAAACAAAAAAATAGAAGAATCTAACTAAGGAAGCAAGTATAATTGGAAAGAGGAAAGTTTATCCTCAGATCAGAAACTTAGCTTTCCTTAAATGAGGTTTATAGAGTGCTGAAACCATCCTAAGCAAGTTCTTTTTTGAGGAAAAAAAATAACATATATCAAGTCTGACAGAAGCTACGTATAAACAAGAACATGGTTCTGTTCAAAGATGCGTGCTTCTTTTTGTTTTGCAGTGATGTATAGATTGGATTAAGTTTCTATATATTAATAAGTTTCTACATATTAAGATAAATGTTAATGCATTTTTGCATCTGGTTGCAGGAGTGTCGTATTACCCTCTATGTTACACTAATTCTCCAAGTATCAGTTATTTTTCCCCAAAATTTAATAATCTTAACCTTATTTTTTTTCCTTGAAATAATTCATATTAGCAATTCACTTATATTTTTCTAGTCTTTACTAACTCTTGTCAACATGCACTAAAATTTCACTCACTCATTCTATTTTAATACAGTCGCTACCACTGCCCCAAGATGCTGCTCTACTGTGATCAACAAATGCTTTACATCAGGGTAGGGATGTTAAAAAAGAAAGCAGGAAAGACATGCGCTGATCTTGGGCAAGCAAAGTTTATAATACAAACACAAAACTAATATTTTTTTTTTTTAAATCATTTTCCAATAAATCATTAAAGATACTTGAGCGTTATCACACTTAACTGTGTGGTAGAAAAAGCTTTTCTTTAGATCTCACATTTTAATAAAGGAAATGGCTTCTGGCAAAATTCTTGCGAGATCTTACTAAAAAAAAGGCATTCAATTTTTCAGCACAACACTGGGCAAGACTTCTTACCTCGCTCCTCATGAGTGTTTTAACACTGCATTTATGAGGACATGAAACCATGACACACGGGCAGTCTGTATCTTCATGTTTCTACAGAGAAAAAAGAAAACAAATCACAGATCAACTCATACTCTGAAATGAGAGGACTTAGCTGCAAAGAAAAATATCCTACAATAATTCAAAAATACACAGGTTTTTTCAGTGTTTATCCCAATTGTGTAGAGAGTTACAGAACTGCAATGCTGAAATCTCTATTTATGCTTTTGATAATATATTAACATTCTAAAGTAAAACTAAGGATTTTCTTATTTTTTCTATGGAGAGGAAATCCATTTGTCTCATCTTTTATTATCTTTTTACTCAAAAACAATGTGACTATAATAAAGTCAGGTTTTCTTCCCCAAGAATTGCTCACAAAAATAGTCAGCTTTGACAGTGAACAGAACTACAGCAGATATCCATTTAGTAAGAGTATACAGCACATGGAAAAGCTCTTCAGAAATATTTATTGTACATTCAGATAACCTTTTCTTCCTACACATGGATATTACCCTTCCAATACTTTTCTAAATTTTATTCCCAAATATCTGATACCAAGTCTCACTGCTACAAACCCAAAGCTCAAAGATATGTTGAAATTTATCATACTGCTAGACAGGCATTTTCATCTGAACCTAGATGACAGATTCTTTAGTATAGCTGTCAAACCCTATCACCATACGGAGGGAAGAAAATCAGACCTAATCTAATTGAATTTACATATCTTCTCAGTTTTTCTCAGCAAAATGAAAATCTGGAAAAAAATAATTGTTTCATGTCAAGGAAATGTCCCATTCAACTTGAAACAAACGGTTTCATGTCTAGTGCTTAAGGAAAAAAAAGCAAAGGAACCAAAGATTTAGATTTATAAGCTCGCTAGAAAAGGAAGAACACATATCATGCCATTTTTGTCTAATAACAATGATTATCTTTGAAATAAAATCAAGATGTAGAGGAGAGCAAAGTTCAGAGACATGAAAGGTCTTGGTTCAAGTCTCAGTCAAATCTGTGAGCATCTGAGAACATATTCCAACCCACTTTAATAAAATAAAATAAAAAAAAAGCCAAACATCAAACATGCCATTCTGGAGCACATCTATCCTGCAATCCCTCTGATAAGCAAGAAAGATCAAGTAGTTTCTTAACTAGACAGATGGGATAGCCTCTTAAAGTGTGGCAGGAGGTTCAGTTCCTCCCTACCAGAACACAATCACCTGAACAGCAGCAATGCAAGCACAGATGGAAAACACCTCCTCAGAGCAACAGCACTCTGATGGTAAGAAGCAGGGACACATCTGGCTCCAGCATAGCAACAAAGGAGCAATGTGACAAGGCCACACGTCTTCCCTAGTGGCTTGCCCAGTCTGTTCAGCTATATTTCAGATTAGTGAACAAGTGAAGTCCAGATGGCCTTGGCAGGAAGAGAGCACTAGTGAAGACCCAAGGCAACAAGAAATATCGTCCTTCTAGAGCCATATCATAACACCATTATCTAACTACGGATTTTATAGGAGAAGCACTTTCAAGTAATAGAACATAGAAAAACATATGTCAGAATGATTTCAAGCTACTGGTTTGTTTTACAGTGCAGCAGCTTTTTCTGCCAGAAATTATAGGAAAAGGTAGCTTTGTGGCAAGAAAAATTTTACATACGGTTTAAACAAGAGAAATAAGTTAAGTCACCTAACAACAGTGCAAGATAGACAAATGCCAGAGCAAAGGAAAGGAGCAAAGGAAAGGAGCAAAGGAAAGGAGCAAAGGAAAGGAGCAAAGGAAAGGAGCAAAGGAAAAAGGGGGTGACCTAACATTGTTAACTAAAGAGTCTGCGTTCAACAATGGGGATTTCCTACCCTACAGGTCATGGGATTCTATGAAGTACTCTGGTAAAATTATTTTTGTTTCCATTTGCATACCTTTTTTCTCAGTACACTCCCTCTATCTCCATTTTCAATTCAAGTCACTGAGGCCTGTTTCAATCATTATTACAATAAAAAAAATTTAGGCTACTGAAGCTAGAGATGAACTCAACCTCTGGGTGACAAACCTCAAATCAAAAGGAGCCTATCATTCACATGTTCAGTCTCATTAAGCTTCTAATTCTCATTACTAAAGTACAATGAGATGACACTCAGACCATAAAAAAATACAACCATTAGCATTTCTCTAGTATCTGAACTTCAAAAAATCTAGGTCAATAAATAAATAAAAATGACAGATTTCTGAAACTAAACAGTTTTATGTTCCTCAAAAGGTATGGATGATTTCAGACTCAAAAACATACCTGTAGATACTGCATTGCCCCTATATAAATAAATTGACTGCAAGAAACCCATGAGCATGTTGGTTAGATAATGGAAAAACAGCTGTACAAAACATATCTAATATTGACTGTTTTTGTCTACTAAGATAGAAGATATTTTTTAAACATCATTCTTTGTCTATTATCAATTCCCAACCCAAAGAAAAAACTGGGACAATACTGTTCATAATCTAACTACAGTTTTACTTTCGCATATGCAAGAATAAACACTGTAAATAATTTTCTCCAAAATATATACATTTTTACATCTCCGCCAAATAATGCTGAGTAATTGCACAATTATTAATGTACCAAACCCTGCAAGTATATACTCAAATAATATGAAGACAGATGCACTTCCAAAACTCAGTAAGAGTCATAGAATCATTTGAGTTGGGAGGGTCCTTTAAAGGCCATGCAGCCCAACCCCCTGCACTGAACAGGGACACCCGCAGCTCCACCGGGTGCTCAGAGCCTCGTCTAGCCTGACCTTGAATGTCTCCAGGGATGGAGCATCCATCACCTTCTGGGCAATCTATGCCAGTGCCTCACCACTCTTATTGTAAAAAAATTTCTTCCTTATATCATATCTAAATCTCTCCTCTTTCCCTTTGAGCTATCACAACAGACCTCACTACAAAGCCCATCCCTTTCTTTCTTACAGCCCCTCATTAGATACTGAAAGGCCGCTATCGGATCTCCCCAGAACATTCTTTTCTTCACACTGAACAGCCTCAGGTCTCTCTGCCTGTTCTCACAAAGAAGCACTCCATCCCTTGGACACATATGCTTTTTAGTAACAACACCTCTGAGCAAAGAGGCTTCTCATGATGGCAGTACCTTACTTAAAACCACACAAGAATACAAGTGAGAATGATCAACTCTTGGTCAAACTTGGTCAAAAACAAACACTGAAATGTAAGGGAGTAAGAGAGACTCAGCATAATGCCGTAAAATGGGAAATATGCAAACAGCTTATAACTACATGTAATGTAAGTATGGTTCTCACTGTCTGCACTGTACTCACAATATGCTGCTTATCAGACAACCTACTTAGAACAGCAGGAAGCCAGTCTAGGCCTGCCTTGTGCTGTTACTATCAGGCTAATACATTTTGTTATCACTTTGTTGTCTTCTTTCCTTTAAGAGCTCATAGAGAACCAAAGAAGTAGTAGACAAAATGACATTATTTCTCCAGTCAATTGCTATGCTTATGCTTTTCCAGCGTAACATTTAATTGTTGATGGGAGTTGCATTTCTTATGTCCATTTAAGCAAAACAGAAAAACAGAACAAGGAGTTACTTTAGAATTAACATCAAGGAACGGATTTGAATTTATTATTAACTGTAGCACCTGAATATCAGAAAAACAAAGAAAACATTTCCCAGACAGTGCAGTAGCTGGTGCCTCCACTGGAGGAAAAAATAAATAAATAAAAAAAACGAGTCTACTTTCTGTTTTGACTTAAGTCCACCTGAGAAGACAATACTCTATTGGCAACTAAGCAGAAGCACAAGAAGAGTTACTACTCTGAATCAACATACAGACTCTCGTTGTATATACAAGAAAATACTGCACCTGCAACATAATCATTGGGACTTGGCTTTTACAGTATTTACAAGTTGTCTCCCGGTATTTACAGGTCTTCTCTACGTGGTCTGGCAAATCTTTTCTCAGTATTTTTTCTTTACAATCAGCACGAGGACACGCAAGTTCTTCAAACTGACAATCAGTTTTCAAATGCATCTGAAAGATGAATAAAAATTAGTCAAGACATCTAAATTTTGTGCATCTATTCTAACCTTTGAAGATGTCCCACACAAAATCAAATTAAGGTTAGAACCAAAGTAAGCAGTTACTTTATGCAATATACTATGCAAAAGCAAATAGTAACAAGTCTTCTCACAATCACATTACTGACTTTACATTCCATTCACATAGAATACAGTGAAATCTTCTCCAAAGATGTATATGACCAATACTGTAAATATTCAAAATTCCACAAGAGGCTATTTAAGAAAAATGTAAGCATTCTTTTTCAACACATATTATCTCATATAAACCTATATGCTACTTAAGGGTATTTTTAAAATACCTGAACTGGTTCACTCAAAGCAAATTTAAGAACTCACATATTTCACTGCAGGCTACTGTGTAATTATCCGTTCTGACTCTTCAGTTACTGGGTTACTGCTATGTTATGCCTTAATGAAACAAAGCTACAACTTCTGGGCAAGTCAGGCAAAGCCGAAGGTTTGATGTTTCCATGCAAAAATCATCACATCAGAGAATTATTATTAATAATAAAAAATAGAAATTAAAAACATCCCCCAAAATGTCACATTTTTAAAGTACACATTAGGATTCAAAACAATTCAATTCTGTTCCAACTTCATAAATCATTCAGATCAACCACTCATGTGGCACATCAAGACACTGGCCAGGGTTTTCATCTGTAAGATTTCTTCTCATTCTTTAACAAAATAAGAGGGCTTATGACTCTTAGATTACTTACGAGTAATTGACCCAAGGAAAGTTGTTCTTTGCAGCCCTTGTTCTCATTTCTGCAGTATATCTGAAGGGCAAGTAGTTCTCTCCTGCAACAATTATCCTTAAATACCTGGAAAAAATTTAAAAATTAAAAATCACTCTACTTCAGAAACTTAAAAGCTCTCAAGAACATAAAAGTTCAAGGAAAGCAGAAATCATACAATGTAATGTCATCTAATTCTAGCCTTATGTGCAAAAAATAAAATACTAAACATGCGTATCACAGATTACTCCACTATGAAGCAGACCAGTGAAAGAAGGTATTTGGACAGAAATTCTAATAAAATAAAGGGTAAAGGTAGAAGAAAAGACTAAGATCTTTGTTATTTGCTTGCCTAACACAGGTGTAAGCTAGAACTCTCCAGGTTATCTGAGAAGCTAAAAGTAAGATGAAGAGTCCAAGCACAGCAGATTAGAGAAAAAAAAAAAACTAGTCTAGTTTGTTCAAACACCTATTTTCACTTCAGTGGTAAATTCACTTCAGTTATAGAAATTTGTTAAGGTCTTAGTTTGGAGGAGGTTTGTTATTTCACTGAAAAGTAGGTTTCAGCCATCTTTCCATTTTAGTGTTTACAAGATTTTTGTATTTCTACCTATAACAGAACAGCAAGAAATTAGAAGCAGATTGCTCAGGGTCTTGGATTTTTCACTTTTTCACCTTTTACAGATGATATCCCACAAAGTCTCTGATTCAGAAACAACGTAATAGCACTACCAAGAAGTGCTATTGCTAAGGGAAGAAACTGGGAAAGAGGACTGAACACTGTTACTGTTATTTATTAGTCCAAAATGAAGGAATAAGAACCTCCAGTTATTTATAATTTCTTCTGTGACTGTTTAGAAACACCAAAGATCTATGCTCAACCACGGCTACTTTACCAAAAAATGGAATTGTGTGATGCAGCATTCCTGCAGCATATGCAGTAACTACAGAACTGTTCAGCATACTAACATTTAATAACAACAAAAAGTTGGGATGAGAACTGTCCACAATGACTATGAATCTATTCCAAGCATCAGTAAAGAATGAAATACTGCAAACAACCTCATCCAAATCTCATCTGACACAGGTCACTGATTCTTGTTTACTTTTCAGATGTAAGTTTAATGAATCAACAAATCTCATTTAAATAACCAATTTTCAGCACTGTAGGTTAGTTGTCTTTGTTGTTTTTTTTTCCACACGAAGTAATTCAGTGTTACTAAACACAGCTTTGCCAACTGAAATTATAATAAGAAAATGATTTTTAAAGTTTTACAGAGAATATCTGAAGGCTGTTTAGTGATTTTGGACATCAGCATTCTGTGGGAAGGAAGAGGTTTCCAGTTTCACAAAAATCATCACCTGATATGTACAGTTCATCTAACGTACACATTTAAAATACGCTGCCCTTCAAGTCATCCTCCTGTGTTAGAGATTTAAGAAGTTTCCTAACAAATGTACATGTTTATATGCGTTAAGAACTAGAAAGCCTGAGTTGAAATACTGCATCAAGTAGACATCGTTATTACTGGTCTGATTTCCTCAAGAGCCCACCTATGTCAAAGCTGAATTGTTAGGCACTGTTCAGAGAAGTAAGATAAATGTCATAAACGAGGAGAGACTGATGCACCCATTAACACTTTCTTGAAAATGGTTACTACTAGAAGCATTTATTGAAGCAGTAAAGACTACTAACACACACAAAAAGAATTACTAAATACTTTAGACAGATTTGATGTAAAAGCTACACAGACCACATACAAAGTTAAAAATAATTTTCTTTACCCCTCATTCTTTCATACAAGTAGTTTTATTGTGAAAAAAAAAAAAGGTGAAAGATTATAATTTAAGTATGAAATAACTTATACGTATAAAAAGTCTGATTCTATTACAGTTACTGTAACTTCACACTGTTACAGTTCCAGTGTGGTTCATGGAACAGCCTGTAAAACAAAGTTAGTCTACAGTAGATGTTGGTCTGCGGCCAAACGAGGAGTAAGATTTGCCAAGATCTGTCACAGTCTCTGAATACCTACACGAGATGCAGTATTTGTTACCATCCTCTTTGTTGATGAGAGAACAACTGCAAAGTGTTGCTGCAGCTCTCAGCTATGAAAACCAGTAGCAACACCTGGCTGGACCATTAACGTCGAAGCTGGCACACTCTGTTCTCTGTCACATGGTTAACAGTAAGAATGAGCTGCCTTCCCAGAATACCCATGTATTCATGGCTTAGATTTTATAACAAAACTACCTTCTGAAAGTAGCTTATTAGGCTTATGAAATAATGGCCACGAAATGCTAACACATGTATGCTACACAATTCAATACTCTTGAATAAGAAATAGTTTAACGATACCTTGTCTTTTACTATGCTTTCTTGACATGCTGTACATTTTGGACTCGGAGTGCTGCAGAGAAAAAAGAAGTTGTATTTCAACTCATCTGAGTTTTAAGAGCCTAAGAACTTCAATTTAAGAGGCAGTTTATTTAGTTACAATTATTCAATGGTGTTTTTTAAATGTTAAAAGTGAATTCTGTTTACTGGAATGAGGCAACGTGACGTTACCTCAAAAAATTTGAACACTGAGTCTGGAATTCCTGAGGAAGTAAAACCACCACTATGCCTCTAGCCACCTGTGTAGTGGTTTTCTTCATGAAACCTGTACCAGATCCACAGCTCTTGTCAATTTTCTGTCTGTTGGTGCAAACATGGAAAATATTGCTTCTTTCTATTATCCAGACCTCTTTCAAACAACACATAATTAAACCTCACTCTCTCTGACAGTGAGTTATATACCCTGTTCTGGTTATAACAGCTGCTACAGATCCCAGCTCCCTTTATCTTGAGTAAATTTATTTATTCCTCTGCAGTTCCTTTTCCCCACACAAAATGAGGATAGCCATAGCAATTTCTCTCTTAAAGCACTGAGATCTGTAGATGAAAAGCACCAGGTAACTGCTAGGTAAACTCTTTGCAAGGCAACTAATTGACAGACTATACAAGTTGCCATTGTTGGCAGCACTGCAAATCAATGTAAAAGACCAAATTGGTTTGATTATTTTATGTAATTAGTATAGTTATTTTAAATCACCTCACTGGCCTTTACTCATTGAAATGACCATTCTATACATTGGAATGTATTTCTGAGTATCTTAACTGCCTTGCAGCTTCAACATCTGTAATATTATTATTTTTTAAGTAGGAATAAAAAGAGGGAAAACTAATCAACTTAGGGGCATACTGATACAATGTCATCCTTCCCTTGCTTTTACTGAATTCACTCAAGCATCCCACTTGCTCTTTTAAACTGCAGCTGCATACTGAGCAGACATCTTTACTGCGTTAGCTACACTGACTGCTAGTTCTTTGTCCTCAAATAACCCTGGAACAGAACCTAGTAGTATGTAATCAGTGTGTGTGCAACACTGAATGAAAAATTTTGTACAGGATTTGTTTGCAACAGGCACTTAAACATAGTGAAAAAACTAGAAAGAAAGAGCAGTATGGTAGATGGTCTTTACCTATGTGTCCTTTTCAGTAGCAAACTGGTTGAAAAGAAAGGAAGGTAAAATAACACATATTCTAGCTACAGTGTAATAAGCACATGTGCATGTCTCTCAGCAGGGAAGGAAAATTGCCCAGATTCCAGCAATGCCAGAATCGTTACTGCTTGGATCGTTAAGGGTCTGCTCTGTCCATCTGCACACATCCAAGCATGCCAGGTGTTTGCTTTTCTGCAGTCACTGCTATTAACCATGTAAGAGCCTTCCAAAAACATATATATTCAGAAAGAAATAACTGCATTTCTCACAACAAACTACACCTTACCCAAAGAAAAGTCTTTCTCATCTCATTCCAATTTGGCATGCTGTAGCAAAAGGCCTACAGGAATGTATTAGTGAGCTGCAGACACTTGCATTTCCTCAGTATGGAGGTTACTCTCTATTGTCTGACAGGGTAATGTAATAACCCTGTAATGCAACCTCTTCTACCATATAGCACGTACTCTTAATGTGCTCCTTTCTGAGACTACAGTATTTCCAAGTGAAATAGAAGCTACTGCCTCGAGTTAGGATGGTCACAAAAAATAAACAGGAAGTCACCAGAGTTTTCAAAGTTAAATCCTCTCTATATTGGTAATATGTAATATCCAGTAAGCTCATTTTGTTCTGCACCTCTTCTTACCTACTAGTGAATGGAAGTACTGACTGTTTATTTACACCAGGAGATTGAAGCTTCAAGAACAATCTCTTAATATCAGACCAAGTGTCAAAATAACACTGTTAAATACAATCACTAGCAATGCATCAAAGTTGAGTGACAAAGATATATACTTCTACTGATGCACAGATACTTCTTAAAATCTAGATACTTCTTTTTAAACAACCACACTTTTATTCTTACCTACATCTTTCAGGATTTATTTTATCTCTAAAACATTCGCTCACACATTTTACGCCCTGGCATTCCTGACCCTACTGGAACCCATAAAACATAGCAAATCTATGTGTTTTCTGGCACTTTATGGGGAAAGGAAGCTCCACAACCATTAACATTTATCCAAGGGTCCCACCAATCAGCTGTAAATCAGAGTCCACCAGTAGGTTATGTACTATCATTCCAATGAGCCTTTGCAGGCTCACTTCTTCACACAGCCATAGTTCCATATTATCAAATGGATCTTGGATCAAAAAAGTAATGTCAGCAGTCATGGGAAACAGCTCTTCAGTTTACATTCCAGACAATTAAGTTTTTACTTCATGCACACCACATCGGATTGAAACGCTTTAAAGCAATTTTGATAATATTTACAAAATTTTAGTTATCTCAAGTTCACCCAATATAGAAGACAAATGGGTAAGAAATAAGAAAGCAACCAGCAAGTTAAAGACTGCTTCCAACCCAGGGCATTAGCTTACAGTATACATCAAACTAAGGTGGTGTTCAAATTGTTTTCAGTAGCTCTCAAGTTTTAAACATGTTTCATTACAATGGGAAACATACCTCAGCAAGGCATTCATGCAAGTCTCACAGAATCGGTGTCCACATTCAGTCTGTTTAGGATTGCATAAGATGAAGTGACATTTTTCACATTTATACTTATCCTCCACAGCATTTACAAATTTCTCTTTGTAGCCACCTTGCTCTGGAACATAAATTGATGCCGAAGGACTGCGATCAGGATTGGCCCTTTGTTGTACCATTTCTACAGATAAAGGGGGTTCTGTCTTCTTACTGGTGTCCATGCTCTAAGATAATTTCTGTGGAGCAGAAACAAAATAAGACAGGCTTTGAGAAACGAAGACCTCTTTTTCCATTTAAACAAAATTAAAAAAAAACTTAGCATCTGAGAGACTACATAAAAACAGAAATCGCTAAGGAAAGATATCATGTGGACACAGCACATACATGAAGTGGACATATGTGTAAATACATTAAGCTTAGCAAATAGGTAAAATAACATTTGTAAAGGCTCTAGAGAGGCAAGTATTAAAAGCTATTTAGCTTAGTTAAATTTCACCATCACTCTAGAAACAAGAAAGAGCAGAGTTTGTATCCTTCCATCTCTGTTGCTGAAAAAATGTCAGTAATATTGAAGTTGTACCTTTCATTAGAGGAAGCAGCAAGGGGTATGGAGGAGCAGGTGTGCTGGTGCAGTACCATGCACAGTGCTACTCATATGCTACTGTAAAAAGCACATAACCGCTACTATTCTACACAGGATATTTGGAGTCCACACAACCCCACCACCAGTTTTTCCTTATCTCATGCAATACCAGTGCATAGAATGCACTGTTTTAGAACAAAGCATCAAGATTTTATTCATTAAACACCTTTCCAAACTTTTCATCGTAACTCCCATATTTAGAAAACAGGTGACACAAGTCTAACTGACAGAGGAGATAGGTGTACACAACATGGCCACTTGGTTAATTAAATAGGACTAAGTACAACTAACAGGCAGCTAAGAAAATAATTAATGTAACCGAAGGATGAATTACAGTACCCATTTTCCTGGACTATGACCCCTCTAGGCCAGCATCAAATGAATTAGTGGAGGAACAGAGGAAGAAAACCCCAAGTTAAATTCAAAAACCTGCTTTGAATGACTTCTGACTTATAGAATCATAGAATAATTTAGAATAGAAAAGACTGTTAAGGTCATCAAGTCCAACCATTACCTAAACACCACCCCCATCCTTTAGGGCGTTCAAATCAAGGTTGGATGGTGTCCTAAGCAGGACCTGATCTAGTAAGTGGCAAACCTGCCCATGGCAGAGGGGGTGAAACTAGATTATTTCTAAGGTCCAATCCAACCTAAGCCATTCTATGATTCTAACACCACGAGTCAACCACTAAACACATCCCTAAAAGTCACATCCACACACCTCTTTAAATACCTCATAGATGGGGAATCCACCACTTCAATAGGCAGCCTGTTCCAATGCCCAACCACTCTTTCCATGAAGAAATTATTCCCAACATACAATCTAAATCTTCCCTGGAATATCTTGAGATCTTGTAATTAAGTATTTATAATTAAATGTATTTTCTTGTAGGTCATTTTTCATCTAATATTTTAGGTTTGAAATACTCCACAGACTAAACACAGAAGGAAATTTCCTTCGTTTCCAATGCCAGCTGTTTTTTCTTAAATCAAAAGACAAAATCGTTACAACCTACCACTGATGCTACTTTCTGTCTGTACCAACACAATGGAGCAAGTGTAGAGATGTTTAGTGAAGACACACACTTAAGCACCCTTCCATCCCAGGGGAAAGCCTCACTGCATCTCAATAAATCACAGAGAAAGCCTGAAGAAAACCATCCTCAGAACTCAGTATACAGACTGAATGATTTGGTCTTACTCAAAACCAGAAAAAAGCATACAAAACAAAACAAAAAAAAAGTTTCTACATTCACTGAAAGGTAAATATGAAGTCTGGTTCATAATTTGAATTAATGTCTGCCTGCTCCTTATGTAGTCTTCAAAGACTGTTCTGCCAAGGCATTAGGCTCTGCAATCTGAAGGAGAGAAAAGTCAGTGCTGAACTGTAAGCAATTTGCAGTTCTCTTTAATGAGGAAATTCAGGTTAATTACATCAGGGAAGCAAGCAAAGCATGAACTAGAGTTTCAGCAGCAAGCATAAAAACAGACTATGACAATACTGAAGAAGTAATATCAGAGGTTTTAACCAGAACACAAAAAACGAGATGCGATGCTGACAAGACTCTAGGAGACAAGAAGGTTAAGAGAACTGTCATGAGTGAGAAAGGAAAGCAGCTAATGAAAGTAGTTGAGCAATAGAGATTGCCCAAGACATGACTGGCATAGCTGAACATTCATGGCTGAACAGAGGTAACCTCAGACCAAGCTGAGGTCTTATAACTTTGAAACACTAACAGAAAAATGTGAAATTTAGCTACCTATAGATTTGCTTCTTGTGTACAACTATGAGAAAAGCTGAATTTGGAGCTTGCAGTTCAGGAATCTCCAAAGGATTCCAGTTCTGTGTTGATTTATGATTTGCAGATACTCTCTTTTTCCCTTTTCAACTGCCTATTCTTCTGTCATATTTGAGATCTCTACCATTCATTCTGTCAACTCTTGAAATCAGCAGACAACTTCAAGCACATTGAATGGTGAGAATAACAAATACAGGGAATATGACTTTCCTTAGAATGTGAGAACAAAACAAGACATGGTCTTGTTTTTGAATTTGACTCAGGGAACAACTTGAAAAAAGAGGCACTGAAAGAGATGCTGAAGGGAGAACTGGCAAGTCACGACAGTACACAGCTCCTGAACTTAAAGACACTCTACACAACATAACTGTTTAAAGTTCGTTTCCTCAAATTTCTTTCAGAAAGAAGCTAATTATGATTTGCAATTTAAAGTCAGTCAATAGCATCATTTCTTCATGGAAACTGAGTCACAAGGAGGCAGGTAGGGGTGAAAAGGAGAAGAGGCAAGATTTAACTGAGAAAGAATACTGAATGTCAAATGAGCAGCAGGTGAGAGTTTCACAGAGATATGAAACTGATCAGGGGCTGAACTGTCAGCTGGAAAGAGATTTCATACCAAAATAAGCTGTACAGTGCTCCACATGAGTCCCCATTTGGAATTGACATATTGGATATCTTGTCACAGAAAATAACCAGAAAGCCCACTGACAAAATTTACTATGCAATATGCGTAACAGTGAGATTTGTGTAGTTCAGCTTTTATATTTTTGTTTCATGAAAAAGTATATCAGCCACAAAAGTGCAGCACCACAGCAGCCAGCCTGGTGAAGAATTCTTTTCTACAGTATTCCAAACAGTCAGCATTTTCTTATGCAGCAAAAACAAGAAGCAATTCATGAACTGCAGCTATAGAATAGTACAGAGCATCTAAACCTCTTTATTACAACCTGAGAGCTGCATTTAACAAGGAGGTGGGGAGATCTGATGTTTATCACAAACTGCACACACAAGTCAAACTACCATATGCACAGCTACGTACTCATGCATGAGTTACATGCTATTACATGTGCATATGAGATCAGTGATGAATACAAGTGCAGACAGTATAAACATTTCAGCTGCCATCCTTTTGCAAACAGCTTTCTCTAATGGTTTACATAACACTACAGGGTGTCATCTGTGATGTCATTTTTTCCTTTTCAGGAACTTCTAACAGCAAGAATTGAATTATACCCCCATAATCATGTTTCAAACTGCCAACAAGAGGCAATTTTGAAGTCACACCTCAGTAAGACAGTATGTGCTTACAGTAGGGAAGATAACTACTTCCAGAAAGAAGTGAGATGAACCTGGCTAGAATGCTCAAGATATGCCAGTTTTGGTGGAAGCTTCTGACTCCTACAGGCATGGCAAGCTGCCATCAAGTTAGTCCTTGTTC